TAATGCTTTGCTTCACGCGTGTAGTGGATTCCCACTACACGTTTGTTCGCTGTTATAGATGCGCCTGTAGCAAAGCACACCGTCATCCTCGTTGAAGTGAACTCTCGCTCGACATAGTTGAGCCTACTTTCCCCTAGCGACTGGCGTCGAATAAAACGGTTCGACTGCCCCACAGTCAACTAGGGCGCGAAGTGACATTCCACTTGTCACTTCGATCTTCAAAGTGATGAGGTGTCCCTCATCACTAGGGGCAGTAACACACAGTGACTACGTGTTGGAAGCAATCTTCGTCAAGAGTCCTGCAAATTCTCTTGACGTTGCTGGATCAGCAGAGTGCTCCGCCCCTACTGAACCTGACCGTTTTTTACGGTCCGACTTGTTGTCGCGGTTTAGCGACATGATCGGACCCGCACCTTGGACCTCTCTTTTTCCAACGGTGAGTATCAGGTCCTGGCTTTGGGCGTGATGCGGTGTTGAGACACTACACTCATGAGCGTAGTCCCCAGATCGTCTGATAGCGGCGGCATCCTTGCCGATCGCTTGTGAACAGAGAGTGAGTGTTATCGCACTCGATATAACGTAGGTCCATTGGTTCGGGACCTCTTGTTTCTTGTCGTCTGGTCGGACGATAGATTGACGAGTTAGCCTGAGACTGTCTCAGACTGAAGTCTTCTTGTTCCACATTCTCTATCGCCTTTTCCAGCGTATGAAAGTCCTCTTGAAATATGTAGGTCTTCACCGGTCCATCTACAAGGCCGTAGATGAAAACGTTGATGAGTGTGTGCTCATCGACAGGGTTTTCTGTAACGCTACTCGCAAGGTAGCGTTGGTGCTGTGCGTAAGCGTGCACGTCACGCTTACCGTGCTTGAGCCTCAAGAGTGCAGAGCGTGATCTGAACTTGGCTCGTGGTGGCTCAGACGTTTCTTTGAGTCGAAAATTCAAGACCTCTAACGACTCAAACACGTTTGGGTCGTGAAGCTTGAGCCCTAAGGCCTAAGTCTTTGCTCGTCATGTGAAAGTTGACAGAGCGAAGGTGACTTGCGTCTCGTCACCCTTGATGTGAAGGGCCCTAATGGCGTCGTCGAACTCCACGAACCATCTCAAAAGGGAATCTTCATCGGTTCCCTTGTACCTTGAGATATCAATCTTCAAGGTTTCGGGTCGACGCATGTGCGTCGGCCCGCCCATCGACTGATGAGAGCCTTGCTGTTGCAGCAAGGCTATTTTCTGTCTTTCGACGGCAAGTTCCCCTTGTAGGAACTTGTTGATAGCAGCATGTTGCTGGTCTCTGCTTAGAGACTCCAACATACCACTGATCGCGGGTTCGCCCATGAGCACACTCATGCGGCCAACTACCTCCCATTCTGAGTCACTCGGATGGGAGTAGCCTTCAAGTGTGACGTGAAAGCTGTCGTCTTCTACGTCCAACATGTTCATGTTGGACGGGCACTGAGTAGTCGTTGGACGGAATACAAAGTGCTACCATGTGATACGGGGTACCCTTTGTATGAGTGCCACGAAACTTCGCGTACACTAGTACATGCAGAGGAAGCTAATCTACTTGAACGACTCGGTCAAATAGAGGTAAAAAAAGAGAACTGTATTTTACATAGTTAAGGTATCAACATAACTGTAATCTTTATCTAACTATATTAAACTACGCCATCGTATGACGACATCCTGCTCACCACTCATTGCGCGCGTCTAGCAGCGATTGGTGGTAACCTTGGTTGATATGTCATTATCAAGCAATCTTGGAGCAGCGCATGAATGTTTCCAAAAGCATATAATATTCCTTCGATATCATCTATCTTGGATAATATTGGTAGAATATTGTCATGCTAGACAATCTCCCTATTGACACCGTTTGGTGTCAATATCATGTAACGGGCTACCCCGTTACAATCATAGTTTGAACTATGGTTGCTACTTTGGATGCTTTAGTGCAGCTTTTAAGATGTTGTATCTGCAAAAAGGGGCCTTAGTGCCCGCATCAGTCATCAACCAGCAGCAACAGCAGTATTTTTTGCTTCACAAATGCTTTCACCGTCGACAGTAAATTTTAAAGTCTGATATTTGCAGAGCCCTTTGAGGCCAACATAAGCCGCCAGCTGCGCAAGTTTCTGAGGGATGAAAGGATGTTCAATGTGGTTAAATAAATAAACAATGATATACCTGGAAGTGCTAGGTAATTGGTTGGAGAGTGCTGAATAATTTTTTTTGCCTATCGAACAATCAGAAGCTCTACTTTAAGGGAATAGGGCTGATAAAAAGGTGGTATCTGAGTAACGAACACTTTTAATGATTCGGATATGCTTTACCAGTGCTAATTGTGACATGTTAGTACTGTTGCATGGATTAGTCGGTACTATTAAGTATTCCTAAAAATTGCAGCAAGATGGAGTTGAAGAGTTAAATAGATATTGACAGCACGCACAAAAATCCGATTTGATCGAAAAGTTAACTCACTTCAGTATGCCTGTCATAGTGTGAAGATATAAAATGCTCTGTATTGAAACTTACAATATGGACTTCAACATTTTTTTTAATCTGCATCCGCCAGTACTTGACATGCGGCCCTCTTAAGGTCACAGCTGGTACCACACACCCTAAAAAATTTTTTGACATGGTACAAAACTATGTGTTGCATTCTTATTGTGAGCCTGAAGGATGAAGCAACCGTTGACTGTGCACAAGACGAATGCCAAACTTTTTAAATCATACTAATCTGTCTGTATGTCCGTAGTTACACATCTAGGTGTACCTTACACGTACTAAGTGCAATATCATTTGTCTCCTCATAGGTTTAGGTATATTCTGAGTCACTCTTTGGCTGGGTCACTATTGTGCAGCTTGTACGTGAGTGGCCAAAAATCGGTCAAAAGTAAATGTGACCACTAAACAAATGCTAGACGATCATAAGTAAAGGCCGAGTGTGTTGCTTAAGCCAACTGTACTAGGTCAATGAATACATTAACGTCATCATACTCCTTTTTCAGTGACTGCAACTATTGTATAGTGTTTTGCAACTTGATTCAGTTGTCCGAACTGGATTATGGACATTCCGGTTTGGAGAACTGAATCAAGCTCAAAGGGCGAGCTCCAGAGCCTTCCCCCTTCATCCTATCATTTCGAGCCCGAAGGTAAAATCCACAAGTGATTGTACACAAGGTGATGCCAATCTGTTTAATTCGTACTTTTCTATGTGTGAGCGTTTGCGTCTGTCTGTAAAAAAGCTAAGATAATTATGCACGTCACACTTTTCCGAATTATCCTTTTACCGCCTGTAAAAAAAATTAACGCCTCGTGTACCTTACTCGTCCCACTAAGTGCGATATAGTGTGTCCGTGAGTAACGCTTGATGTATTTTGTGTCTCTTATAAAGTGCGACGTAGCACCTCCCCTCATCCATGTGGATCTGAAATAAATACGCTTGGTGTACCCTACACGCCGTCCTAAGTGTGATGCGAGTTTTTATAAATAAAAAGAGAACAACTGACTTGACACGACGCCGGTTTGGAACTGACTTTCATTTTTAACATGCAAGTCCTACTTTCCTACCCTACAGGCCTTCGTGAAATTCTGCCGGGGACAAGTCCAATCCGGGACAATGCTTGCAATCCAACTTAAACTCTGAATTCTGCATACTTGAAGATAGCCAACTTTCACCCACATTCAGCCACTATCGTCCAATTTTCTATTAGAATGCAACTTTCATCCAACTGGTTATTTCAATATTACCCCTCTTAATTTTTCCAAGCGCATTATAGCAGGCTAGAGTGAAAGGATTTTCGTGACAGAGCACAAGGCGATCGAGTATACAGAACTTGGTTCATTATCGAACTGAATTGCATGTATCAAAGGGCGATCTTCGGAGCTTATTCTGCTATCTTATATAAAGAAACAAAATGTGCAATAAAAGGGAGCCGCTAATAAGCCTTTCCTTATCGCTAACGAACCTCCACATCCACACATAAAATATGTAATTGGATTTAACCCCCCCCCCAATTTTTAAATTGTTTTGTTGAACCCTTTAGGAATCATGTCAAGCTATCTCACGTTCCTACTGTATCTTAACCCCGACCTCCCTATTTAAAAAGCAACACGGAAGGCCATAACCTTATCGCAGGAGAGCTTTTTGTATCTGTTGACAACGCATGTCATGCGCTTGACGAGTGACACTGCCGGAAGGCTATGCCACAAAAATTAAATAGCAACATATGGTGAAAACAGCAAGGAAAGTGAGGTTAAAGCAGTGAATCTGCAATGCTCAAGCAAAACGCTGTCCACAACAGGCGATTCACTAAGATTGTCATATTATTGCATTCAAGCACAACTAGAGGTCGAGCAGCATACAACATGTTTATTATGTTTTCACGATCGTCTTTAGCCCTTAATGCGGAAAACGATCTAAATACGTGTGAACCATAATCTAAGTGCCGTGGTCGGAGCTTTTTGGGGTGGTGCTCTCAACGGTTAATAATATGCGGTGTAGAGCGGAATGGTATTCACCTTAACCAAGCCAATATGAGCCTTTATTTTAAGTGCTCTTACCCGTCCTAGGGGCTGCTCTATGTGGAACTGCGGATATTACTGGCTCAGTCTCGACTATAAAAATTTAGTCATCAGATAATTTGACAACTTAGGATAATTTTGAATTTATATCATTTGATGTATGGGCGGGGTGAAGGCTCGTGAGCGAAAAATGAAAACTAATCAGCGGCTTCCAAAAGAAAATTATCGATTTAACTAGCTCAAATTAGTTTTACAAACTAACGCTGCCCTACTGCGTCAATCGACGCTGCTGCACAGGCGTTTTCATCGTGGGGATAGACGCTGCTGCACAGGCGTTTTCATCGTGGGGATAGACACTGCTGCACGATCGTACGGCCGACGCTGCTGAATAGTATCCTGGCTCGAGTGACACCATCGAACGTTGTGCAAGTCGATCGACACTGCCGGACGGATGCAGCCACGACCGATGGAACGGTGTAATTCGCTAGCGAGAGTATGTCACTATCACTACAGCTGGACGATTGTCTCCTCCACACGCACCTGCGATTGGTCCATGATTGGTCAACTCCGTGTGGAACCAGTAATCGGGGCCGTTGAGCATTCGTTCGTGGGCCGAGATTCCCGTCGCGACTTGCGGCTTGGAAAAACTCTATATGGATGAAAGTCTTGGTCCAAACCGTGAAGATGGCACTTGGATACGCATCACGCTAAAAGAATCACCACCTTTTTGTCGATCTTCCGTGCAATCTTGTACACGCAACTCTTGTATCTTGGCATTCGCACAGGAGTCTGTTGTGTACAAATTCGTACTCTCACAGTCGCAGATGCAATCTACTCCTTGCTGTTAGCGTCCGTGCGTCACTTGAAATGTGTGATCCACTTCTGCGATGTGTAGCGTGCTCTTCACGACCACATGAGCTATAGAGACCGCGCGACCCCATCCATGGAATTGTAAAGGAGGGACGACACCGGCTGTCATCCATAAGATCGGACTGCATAGAGCATGCAGCATATGACCGAAGAGAAATACATGCACCACGTAATCAGCATTTTTGGGGGGTTTGTTTTCGCTCGGCGATGGTGCTTTTGTTCATTGTGCTTTTCTCCTGCTCGGAGTCACGGCAGTACAGAACAACCATGAGGACTGGCGCTTTCTTGTACGCCTTACTGCTCGCAGCTTTGGCCCCTGCTGCGAGCCCACAGGAGTGTGGGAAAGACACGCTTGGTCACGACGAAGTGAAGGCGTTTAAACAGCCTTCGCCTGTGACAGAGGCCGAGAGGGTTGCCCTCAGATTTAATCCAACGATCCTTGTTGGTGAAGGATGCATGCCGTATCCTGCAGTGAATTACCGGGGCCAGGTGAGTGAAGGTCTCAAGCCTTCGGGGCGTCAAAATGGCAAGTGCAAGGGATCCGGGCATGGCTCTCAAGTCTACGGGCGTGCGACCGAGTTTGACGGTAAATATGCTCTGATGTACGCGTACTACTCACCCAAAAAGATGGTGGAGCGCTCACGGAACGATCGCGCCTCGCCCGAGCAAGGATACGACCATCGTCACGCCTGGGACCATTGTGTCGTCTGGCTCCCCAGTCGTAACTCTTCGACGATTCTGGCGGTGTCGGGCGTCATCAATAGTGCGGTGTTTATCAAGCCTTCAGAAATGGACGGGGACCGCATCAAACTTGCGTTCGAGGAGACAAAAGGGTGGGATATCTACTTGCAGATTACTAGTAAAGAAGGCGGCCACACCCTTCCCCTGATCATGTGGGAGCAGATGACTGAAGCTGCCCGCTGTTCACTCAGTGAGACGGATTGGGGCGTCAGAGCAGGAGTTATGCCTTTAGGTAACCGCGTGTTCCAAGACCAGTTGGCACGCGATAACCCTTTTAAGAAAGATAAGTGAGCTGGAGCACGCAGTCCGCAATGCTGCATTCAGCATGCCTGCCAATTTCGGCTGGCATGCGTGCTTCCTTTCCAAACGATATGGTGCAAGGTTGCTGCTGGAATAACGTTGTAGATATAGTAGCGTTTCATTACATGACTGAAAAGTTTTGCCACTCAAAATTGCTGTTGTTAGTAAATTTTATGACGTTGTGACTTTGAACTATAATGACCTGTAGTGACGTCGGTCTGCAGTTTTTAAGCTGCGTACAGCAAGTCGACCCTTTACACACGTGCGGGTTGCTGCTCAAGCACGAGTAATTCACGTCTACAAATATCGTGCTATATGGCATATATGCTACTTCCTGTCGGAGACACCCCGCTTAATGTTTCTTCGTTTCTTGAGCACTGAGCCCAAACAATCTCTTTAAAATTGGCACCCTTGCTTCGTGTTCCGATGTTTATGATCCTCTCGTCACGCCAAAATTGCTGGACTGTTGACCACTCCTTACGCAGCGATTCCTCTTCGATGGTTTGTGGAGACGACTTTTCGAGTGCTGTCCCTTTTTTAAATGCACCTACGCTGTAGAAGTTACGAAGTTTTCCTCAGTGCTGCTGTGTTGTTCCCCATGCGGAGGCTCATGCCGTGGACAGCAAACTTTTCAAAATTCTCTAAAACGGCAATGGTAGCCGTAGAGATATCTAGCAAGCAAGTACTTCTGCTGCAATTGGTAGCGTAATCAAGGGAAAGATAGCGTGGATAATGGTCACGAAGCACAGTATTGCTGTATGGCAGACTTGAACAGTGCTTAGATCCGAAACGAAGAACGGATTGTCAATCGAGCAGTAAATACATCAGATCGGTAGCGTGGACCCAAGACAATTTACCCTCCTCGATGACTAGGGTCGCGGGAACCACCATCACACGTGTGATGTTAACGAACAAAAACATCCGACCAATAGTTTAGGTGGGTGGCGGTTTTTGTCTCTCGGTTTCGCTCATGTAGTTTCCCTGCAACTTTGTAGAGCTGTAGTATTCTGTGCTGCTGCTCTTTCGTAGATGCTGAGTAAAGAAGGTGGCTTATCGATATCTGGTAGCTCCATGCGCCTACGGCAGACACCATAGCAAACGCGTCGCACACAGTTTAATCTTCAATGCGATAAAGTTGACAAATATATGCTGCCTCACTTATGTTGCGAGCTAGCAGGTTGAGCAGAAGGCTCCTCTTTTGGAAGCGGATGGTGTGCAAGTGCCCATTGTGAGGTCAGAGCTTCCATTGGTAGCAGCTAATACTGTCGGTAAGTGGACCATCGGGTCCAGGGGGTGGACCGGATTGCTTGGGATATACTGATCGAGAACCGCCATAACGTCAATACGTACCTCACATCAGGTCATGTAGATGTTCCCGTCATGAAGAACAAATGATTAAACACCGACTCGTAACTCGCAGGTCCGGGAGTGGCCCGTGAAACGTATCGCACTCCTCTCTTCGCAACGAGTTAACAATTTACAGAGTTCTGAGACGATGCTTTAACGGGATTGGCAAGACGCAAAGTGGATAAATGGTGACATCTAGTTCCAAGAGAGCGCAGCCGCGATGCTAGCCTCACGAGCTGAAAAATAGGTAAAAGGCTCGTCACCGGAACGATGTGTGTTGAATGGTGTCGGTTTGCGTACTCGATACGAAGCGATAACTACAATCTCCAAGCGCGGAGCCATTTGTTGTTATTTCTTGAATGTGCACGGCAATCTGGCGGCTCACCCACGATGACGTGCTCTGGTGAAGAGTGGACCGTCCAGACACAATCATCTTATTGCCATGAGAACACGCTGATCCATTCTCTTACCTTCGAACGCGGCGTCGAAACATTGTGCCAGACACTGCTATGTAGTTTTCTCAGCTGCTGTACGCGTCAACAAGTGCAGCCTTTCTTGGAGCGATCGGCATCAGAGTGCACTCCACCATACAAACTTGCTGGTTGATGCGCGGTGGAGACATCTCGAAAGCCGACGGTACACTTGAGCACGAACCGAGTGGGATGCATTCTATGGCTGACTGCCATTGTAACGGGGTTAGAAGAAGTTGGGTTCCTGGTACCCTGTGTCTTAGACACACAGATGACATCCCACTGAAAGAGATATCGAATGTCTTATCGGTTTGTAGGGGCTGACTGGTGCCAACTACTAGATAGGAGAGATCTTAGTTGAACTAACTTAGGTTAAGATATTCTATAGGTGTAAATGTAAGTAAATTTCAGTTCCCCTTTTGATCTTAAAGACACGTACCTTGCGAGGCGTCTTTGGTCCTTGATCGCTGATCACTAAGAGTTAGCAACACCTCCCTGAGGTAGCTAGTTACTCTTGAGCATTACGTGCTGTCGATACATTCAATCGGTTGGGCCCCTGGAACAAGGACCATAAGCTTTACGCTTGTTGACTCACTGTGTCTAGTTCCTTAGAGCTAAGTTGCTCGTTGAGCGTTAAGTCTTCCTCTTACTAAAGGAGCTGTGTAGCTCCGCTACACTTGGTAGCACTCGTAGTCAATCTACGCCTGAGTCTGTTTAGACTGATCCTATGTGAGGATAGAAAACCCCACTACTCTCTCTGAGGCTTAAAAGGTCGCGCTTGATAAGCTGACCGCATCTTTGGGTCCAGAGTACGCGGAGTTTCTTGTCTCACAAGGCCCTGAGGTGCTAAATGCACATGTTGAAGGCTTCATGCAGTATGAAGCGACCCTTCTAGGGCAGGTCAAAGACCAAGTAGCGTCGACTATGCCTACACGCTATGTGTCTTAGATAGATGAAGAGGCTAGGCCTCGTCCACTTAGATTGGAAGTTAAAACTATTCTGGCAAGGAGGGTGAAAATTCATACTATGGATCCGTCAGATTGAGATGGCCATGATATCAGGCCTGATCAAGGTTAACCATCAACAGGTCTCGCTGGCTATCTCAAAGCTCCATGGAAGAGTTAGAGAATGGGCTTTGACGTGTAGCGCGTCGGTCGACTTAGCGTTTCCTACATGAAATTCGCTAAAGTCACAACTCGTACAGGTCTTCTTACCACCTAACCAAGCTTACCGCGTGCGTTCACGCTTCTTGTCTAATTGTCAGGATAAGAATGAGTCATCGGACTATGTTCATGATTTTGATCTCATATGGCTGCAACGCAGTCTGACCCTTTTCACGAGACAGCTCATGTGACTATCTTCATGAAAGGTCTTCGTACGGCTTTGCCATTACCAAGTTTCTCGGGTTCATCACTCTACGTTCGAAGAGGCCGTGATGACTGCTCTAAATGCTGAGCATAACTACAAGTCGGCCAGGCTTGGCTGTAATGGGTACACCCTAGCTCTGCGAGAGCAGACTCCACGAGTGGCCCGGCACTTAAAAGGCCGGAACCGGTGGATCTCAGCTATGCTGAAGATTGATGGTGAAGTTGAACTTCAAGCTGCTGAGCAGAAACGCGTCGTACGACAATATTTTACGTGCGGAGGCACTAACACTTGCGGCCTGGTTGCCCTTAACGTAAAAAGCGTCAGGCTACAAGCTAGCACTCCACCCCGAGCCAGAAGTTTGGCATGGCACGGGGAAGTGCCGCCGCCTAGTAGGCGCGGGGCTCCCTACTAGGGAAGAACTGGAATCTGTTACACATTTAGGAGGTAAAGTTAAATAGAGCTTAGCCCCAAAGAGCTCCGTACCTATAGTTATGAAGCGTGGGTATAAGTCCGGCTTGTTACTCGCCGAGGCGAAAATAAAGGGCTCTAAGATGCCTAGGTCGATTTTGATCGACTCTGGAGCGTCTTGCAATTATGCTCGACGTCCATCTTTTGAGGGAACTCAGCGTTGTGCTAAGGCGCTCACAGCGCATGAGGGTAATTCTATCACGGCTCGTTTAACGACTGGAAGTCGTGTTACTGTGTCTAAAGTTCCATTGAACTTAGGTATACAATTTTTAGACTTTGACAGAATTTAACGCTGTCTTTTCCTTAATTTGGACTCGAGATGTGATCTCTCCTTGGTATGGCTTGGCTTGAACACCATGAGTCATGGATTGATTGGAGTTATAAGACCTTAGGCGCCACTCGCAAACTCCTAGCAAAGTTTTAGAGAGTCGTGAACCCACCTTCGCTAGGCAACAGAAGCACTACTGGTGCGAGCCTTTGACAGAAGATGTCAATGTGCTGGAAATTGAATTGCCTGTTTTTTTTACTCCAATGTTGTAAACATAGATTTCGAGCGTAGCATATTAGATATCGATGATACGGAACGTACTCCGTTAAGTGGTGATCGTTGTGATATCGAGTCTCTGCATGCTAAAAGCATGGTTGGCCTAGGGCCAGATTATCAAGGATGTAATTCCTTTGATGTGTGTGAGGTGGCACGTGAGTATTTACCGAGTGTGGACGGCCGTGATGGCACCACACTTAATGTCGGTAATGGCATTGTTGGCGAAACGCCGTTCAAATCAGGAATAGGCCCGCATAATGTACGTGGATTGGGACATGAAAATCCACTGGGTGAAGAGTTCGTGTAATGTAACACTTTACCAAATGTCGGTCAAGACATCGGCTCTCGTAAAGAGCGTACTACTTTTACAAGTAGTAGAGGGGGCAGTATTGTCCCGACCCCTATGAGGTGCGAGGTCTATAAGAGACGACTTGGACGTCAGGTGGCAACTGTTAAGCGCCAGGAGTCCACACAGTCACTGGGTGATAATAGATAAGCTATATACGCTTATGAATGGGATGACTGGTCAGGTTGATAGCAATGTTAGCCTTGTAACCCTTCCATCTTTGGATGCTTTGTGCGAAATGTCTGACGGCGAGTTTAGACAGGCCGTACAGGCAGGAGATTTATCCAAATAAGTGGTCATTAGACCCGATGTTAAGTTGAACTCGTCCTCATTAATGCCACAAGGGCCGTCTAAAACCCCGGCTATTTGTAAGAGTCTAGTGAAGCAATTGTATAGACCTCATCTAGGTTACGCACAAACGTACTTTGACGACAGCTTTGTCCATAGTCGTGCAATATATGGTCGATCAGATGTGGATACCACATTTATCATTTACAAGCGGTGCTCGAGTGCATGCGCACGAACAAATTGTACGCTAACGCGTCTAAGTGTATCTTTGCAGAAGAGATTCCCTTTATAGGGTGCTTTGTTGGGAAGCTATGCCTTCGAGCGGACCCCGCAAAGGTAAAGGCCATAGTCGACTGGCCAGTTCCTAAGAACCAAAATGACTTACGCAAGTGGCTTGGCCTTGCCAATTACTTGCACAAGTATAGTGCCAATTACGCAGACATGGCCAGGCCATTATCAAATCTCCTAAAAAGGATGTGGATTGGTGTTAGGGTCCATACCGAGCACGATGCTTTTAAACGCGGTTAAGGAGAGTATCCTTCATGCGCCAATTTTGGCTTTGCCCGATCCTGATCGGCCCTACAGTCTAGTTTGTGACACATCTGACTTTGCCATCGGCAGTGCTCTGTTACAAACAGATGGTGATGGACGTAAGCGCGTCATTGCATTTAAGTCGGGCCAACTTGAAGCTGCTGAAAAGAACTATCCAGTTCATGACAAAGAGCTGCTTGCTATAAAGTATGCTCTAGTCAAATTTAGAGTACATCTGCTTGACTCGAAGCCTTTTGTGATCTATTCAGATCATGCGTCATTGCGCACTGCGACACAGTCGCCACATCTCTCTCAAAAGTAGCTCGTTAGCTTTTCTTCCTTGCTGTATATAACTTCGAGGTGAAGTATAAGCCAGATAAGAAAAAAGCCTTAGCTTATGCGCTATCGCGCCGACCTAACTATGAGCTTGCTCATGTTACGACACTGTCGTCATCGGTCCCTGACTTAATCCGTACGGCTTATGCTAAGGACGAACAGTGTGTAGCTTTGCTACGGGCTCTTTGAAGCGATGAGTTCAAAGACTCGGACATAACTTTATCGGCACGTTTACGTGCGAGGCTACATCTATTTTATATCGACAATGGCCTGTTGTGCTATCGCACGAATATTGAGGATACCCCTCGTGTTGCTATCCCTCTTGATAAGGAGTTGAAGCATCGAATCCTCTATAAGGCACGTGATACCGCTTTAAGTGGTCATCTCGGTCGTGAAAAGACCTATGTCTCAGTGGGCCAGGCTTATTGATGGCCCAAGATATAAAAATGGGTGAGCCTCCATGTGCGTACATGCGAAACGTGTCAACGTTTCAAACCCTCAGCGCATGTGGCTGCGCCGCTGGCTAATCTGCCTGTACCCACTATATGTTGGGAGTCCATTAGTACAAACTTTGTGTTTGGCCTGCCGAAAGATTCGAAAGGCAACACTGGTATTTTGGTCTTTGTTGACCATTTGAGCAAGATGACTCATTTAGCGGTTGTGCCGGACACGATTAATGCTGAAGGCACAGCAAAGCTTTTAATGATCGTTTTTTGTCAACACGGTTTGCCTGTGGCAAATGTCTCGGATCGTGATCCACGTTTCACTGTAGAGATTTGGACTTCCATCTCCAAGGTACACTGTAGAGATTTGGACTTCCATCTCCAACGCAGTACCAGCGGGTACGTGTTTGTGCGCAATAACGGACACCAAATTGGACATGTCCACGGCGGATCTACCGCAGACCGATGGTCAAACTGAGCGTATTTAGCGCGTCATTAATGACAATTTGCGCAGTGGTTGCGCTGATAAGCCACGGCGTTCAGGCTCAATGATCCCGGTGGTCGTGTTTGCGTAGGACAACGCTGTTTATATGTCTGCAAGATTTACTCTTTTCTACGTGAATGGACTCACTCACCCACGCTTTCCGTTATCCTTACCACTCTATGGCTCAGGGTTTGCTGGAGGAGGAATAGCCGATCGGCTTGCTGCATTCGGCCCTGCTAATGTTTAAAAACAGGTAGGAGAGTTTCTCGCAACGCGATTGAATGTCTTACGACATGTCTTGAAGATAACGTTGCGTTCGCGCTTCATCAGACAGTTCACGGTCACCGCCAAGAAGGGACTTGCGTGTGCGCTCAACCTTCCACGAAAATGCGTGGACACCCAGTTTTCTATGTAGGATTACTTTAGCCGTACCAGGATCCTTTCCATTAGAACTTTAAGCCGCTGGCGCCGAAGACGAGGGCGGTGGCTCGGATTGCTGCAAGCGAATCAGCAAGTTTAACTGAGCCTCGCTCCGAGTTTGAGCATGCTCCATCGCCTGAAGGCGGCTCTTCATCGCATCCAGCATGCATTGGGTCTTCTCCAGGGTCTCTTGAAGACCCTTCACTTCGAGAACCAATTTCTTGTGGACTGCCACCGGTACACCGGCCGCCACCGACGCTGCTCGATGAGCACGGGTGTCGTCAATTTCATGTCGAGAGACTAATGAAACGATGTCGTCCTCATAACCACTACCAGTATCTGGTAAAGTGGTGTGGGTACCCTTAGTCTTAGAACTCATGGGAACACTAGGTACCCCTACGGCTAGTTGCCCTTATGCTTTGTATTTTTTTACATCGTAGCCAAATATATCATGAGACCGAGGCCGTTTCTCACCACTAGTGGTGTGGGTTGGTGAATTGGTGGTCATAGTTCGACCAGCACTCGCGGCTACAGTAGTAGCCGAAGCACATCGCGTGGGATTACACAATTGGCCTCGGGCCGTAATCTTGGCATATTCATGCCGAAACTTGCGTTTGAGACGCACATCAGCCACTTTGGCATTAGCTCTCAGAGCAGACATACTGCTAAGGCAACGTATGCGGTGCACCCCGCGGACGAAAGCATTGTCTTCTTTTCTCTCTGTTTCACCTGCAGACAAGAGAATGGGTATACCCTTAATCGTGGGACCGGTGCACCACGTGCTTGCAGATCAAGGCGTGCCTTGTATTGACCTAGATTCGTTAAGTGAGGCTCCAGGTACCTCTTGCTAAGTTCCTGTCCGCTCGCCACATCCCCGGGAGACTTAGGCCTGTGGCTAATGATTCGCGTTGCCAATGTTCGGCCGGTCGTTTGAAGATAGCGTTCCTACGCTGGTTGGAATGAATACATAGCCACGTTGGTGCTCGATAGGTGCGACCATCTGCGCATGGCACCGAGTGCTTTCTCCGCTTTGAATGATTGTTTGTAGTTGCTCATCAAGCGGGTTCTTGATAATGATTTAATCCGAACTGGGGATTGAGCGCGGCGCCAATGGCGAGTTCTCATCATCACGTTTAGGGAACGGACAGGGGGCAGGACGAGGTTGTACCTCAGAAATGGGTGTTTTGGACATTGCCCTGCATCACTCGGGGCACTGGCATCTCTACCATAGTCCAAAACCTCCCTTTTTTTAAGGTAACCACTGAGAGTCTTTGACTCGTTAGGTGATGAGGACATCGTGTAAGAAGCTTCAAGCTACCGTAATGAGCCGCAAGTGCACTGAACTCCGTAATAGAAACAAAGTTGGATGAGAACGTTCGGTTGGGACGAAGCCCGATCGGGACGAGGTCCGATCGGGACAAGGCTCGATTGACAATTCGATAAACGTCAGTCTGGTGGAAGAGGTGTAAAGGGGGTACACGCAGTTGGTTTCCTGGCACCCTGTGTCTTAGACACACAGATGACATCCCACTGAAAGAGATATCGAATGTCTCATCGGATTGTAGGGGCTGACTGGTGCCAACCAATAGATAGGAGAGATCTTAGTTGAACTAACTTAGGTTAAGATATTCTATAGGTGTAAATGTAAGTAAATTTCAGTTCCCCTTTTGATCTTAAAGACACGTGCCTTGCGAGGCGTCTTTGGTCCTTGATCGCTGATCACTAAGAGTTAGCAACACCTCCCTGAGGTAGCTAGTTACTCTTGAGCATTACGTGCTGTCGATACATTCAATCGGTTGGGCCCCTGGAACAAGGACCATAAGCTTTACGCTTGTTGACTCACTGTGTATAGTTCCTTAGAACTAAGTTGCTCGTTGAGCGTTAAGTCTTCCTCTGACTTAAGGAGCTGTGTAGCTCTGCTACATCCTTCGTGCCCAGAATCCTGGTCACGCTGTGCTTCTTGTGGCTCCAACCCAGCCGTACCGGTCGTTTGATGATAGACCTTTCGTGCAACGCCTTAGTAACTTATATCCAGCCAAGACGGACTTTGACTTCCAGTCGGTTCTAAGTCAGCTTTGCCTTGATTGAGTCACGTATTGGGGCCAGATACGGCTGACCGAGTTTAATCTGGCGATGCAGATTATTGCTTCCAGTATCTACAAACATCCACTGAAATTAAGTACTATACTCCGGCGGTCAGCATCGGCAACCCCTACTCGCTTTGGCTTCAATGGGACGGCCCGATTTTGGCGGCATGAGTGCTCTCTCTTATTTTGAAGCGCCAATTAACTGAGGACCTCCCTGTCGACCTTCGACAAACAATTGACTTCCTACGGGAAAGGACTACCGAAGTGATACCCCTAGTTAAGGCTTCTCTCTAGTGAGGCTTGGTATATTCGTGGATACTCAAGTACGTCAATGGTTTGAGTACTGTAACGTTATTGACCCTTGAATATTTCTCAAAAAATTTAGATGTCGTGGGACTTCAAGAGATCCGCTTCACAGGAAGGAAGATCTTTAAGCGGGCAAGGTGACTCCGCTTACTACTTCCCAACAAAATCTAAGTTTTTGGTCATAAAACAGAATGGAATCCTTCACCGGTCTAGCGGGTGTGAGTCTTCTCATCACGCCTTCTTGTCCGTTTTGCAACCTTTAAGACTTCATTATCCGCTATGCAAGCTCTCCGAATTTTGTTTAAAGGTATTTGCTGGTGCGTGGCACAATTGATTCGGTTGCTACCTGCATTCATACAGTTTATGCACCCGTTCAGCCAGTGCAACGTCCGCTCTCCTTCAATAACCTCCCATGCTATTTCGAGACCGAGGCTCACCATCAAGGTAAGGGAAATTTTAACATGGTCCTTTCCAGTCAACTTGACCAGGATAGCTCGCAAGACTGGGCTCGTCGATAAGGTCGTGACGAATCGATCGACTGAATAACAAGTTAAAGATTGGTCGAATTATGGCGACATAAAAATTTCGATGGTAGAAATTTACAACCCCCACTGGTCACTTAAGGATTTACTATTTCTTTGTGGATCATTTTCTATTTCGCTCGGAATAAAAATACGTTTTTCACGGTTTCGATCCAAAATATGGGTAAGGCGACCATATAGGTCTATCTCTTCTTCTTGGTTCGACTTGTATTATGCCCAGGCAAAGGGCCTTTTGGAAATGCACAACTTGGTTTATTTGACTCCCTAATGCTCATAACTATTTAAAAGATTCAATTTTTACCACTCGCCGAATGGTACATTCCTGTAATTTGGACGTAGAGCCCCGGGTGCCTTCTTGATGAGCTTAAACGGAAGGACTCTATCTTTCTTCAAAAACTTTTATAACCTAATATAAAGGCTTTAAAGAACAATTTTAGACCTTCACCTCAAAACCAACCGACTTCAGCACCAGCACGCGCTGAACTCGACGGTGGACTTAACGACCGAACTCTTTCGAGTTAAAGCTTCCCTTAACGGTGAATTAGGGGTATTCGCTTATTTTGCATCCAGTCAAAAATTCGCCTCCGACCTCTAATCTAATAGGCGTAGCTCGAACTCTATCTTTCAAACACCCCGAGTACCCCACAAGACGCCCATTCCTGTACTTTAGATCAAAGATCTGAAGCCAACCTGTGCCTCCTATAAAACATTTTCGTCTGGCATCAACTGTTCGCCGTCTAGGAAGTTTGGTCACGCGAAACCCGTTTCGTTTCGCATGGGACTCTCCCGGCTATTGCAGCACACAACCACGCGGTCGACGCCGGCGAATTGGGATAACTTGAAGAGCCTCTTCTCAGCTAATTAATTTTCCTGGGCTTTTATACACACGGCTTCTGGAAAGACGCCAGGTCTGGATGGCTTTCATCTGGACTGTTATCGTGCCGATTTCCCCCTCAAGCCGTACATTGGAGATAATTTACGCTGCTTAGGTTTTCAAGGGAAAATGATAAAGAACTTATGGCGGGCTCAAATATCGCTGCTTTACAAAGATGAGCATCGTAAAATGCTGAAACATTATTGCCCTACTTCACTCCTCAATGTCGACACCAAACTGGGACTTAAAATTTTGGCGCACAAATTTGGTCGATTTTTAGGCTCTCTTCTTACTCTGACTAATATTGGCTCGTTCCGGGGCGCGAAATTCGCCACGCGCCCAAATTCGTTTTAAAGCCCTAAGCCAACTCCGTTCGAATACCTACTCGCACGCGGGGGATGTACTACTAGACTTCTCTAAGGCTTTCGATAGCGTCGTCTAGGACGGTTTGGATACAGTTTAAATACACTATGTCTTTAATAGAAACTTTCGGCGTTGGAACAAGTCTTTTTTTTCCTATGGCATCGGCCTACCTTATGTTTCGTGGGCGCCCAGTATCTCTGTTCGAACCAAGAGTCCGGGTCCGCTAAGACAAACCTCTCTCACCAGCGCGATTTGTGTTCTTTTTTGAGCCCTTACTCAGCTTTTTCGATTCAAGCTTCAAGGCCTGGATATACAGTGTGGAACTTCGTTTCACTCGGTCATCAGTTTCGCAGTTGATTGCACCGAATCTTTTATGGCCTCCGTCATACCAAGGCCTTTCTCGGTTTTGTGGAGGAAATCTGTTCGGCGACGGGCATAAGACTAAATAAGACTAAGACTGTGGTGCTGCCATTTCGTCCCTGTTCTGCTTTTATAAGCCTTTAAGCCTTGATCTGGGTCGCTTAGGGGTTAAAGTTGTCGGTAACTCCGGGAGGACCAAGCTTCCTAGGATATATATTGTCTCTCGATTGACAAACGGCGATCGCCTTTGACACCTCGTAGTTAAGGCTCAAGCGCGTTGTTAACTATAGGGTATACGGGCAAGCACTCTTCGCGGCCAAGTGATAATTTTACAGCAAGTCATTTTACTCATTCTATGGTATTCAGCCAGCGTCTTCCATGTCCCAGCGACTGAATTTTAGAATCCGATTAACACGCTCATTCGCGCTATGTCTGCAAGAACAAGTCGAAATTTGCCTTGTCGAAAGACCGGTGAATTATACCCCAAGGTCACGGCGGTTTAAGTCTCACTCCAATCAGTGACCAGGTCCACACTTTGCAGCTTCATACTATGCAAGGTTAACCTGGCCGCCAATAACCCCGCTGCTACTGGTGTGCCTACCTAGCACAGCCTCTTATTCTGCTTTTAAACAAGCCATTTCTTCTTGGGGTCACGACTTTTTTATACTGTACGCGCCGGTATCAACCAGTCTGGACTACGCTATTCTGTTCAGGACTAAATAATGGTCTCCAGTTGACGCCTGTTGGCACACCATTCCTTTTGTATGAGATTCTTGCTTTCAGAAGAAACTGGTGCGGCTGCAGTCTAACTTCGACAAGGTTACAACTTCGATGTTCCATAATGTGG